CCATGGGCTTGCTGTCGATGTGTGCATGAAGGATAGCAGGCTAGTGAAAGCCCTGGAGCAAATGCTCCTTTCCACTCATCTCCTGGTGTGCTCGCCGGAGCGCAGTTCGGTTATGTTTCTCAAGCCATGAGGCTGCTCATGCAAGACACGTTCAGCCGTGTTCATGGAACAAAAGCTTACAGGCCAGCCACGACGACGGCTCATCTGCGAAGAGTGGTGTCAGGGTTGAGTGAACGTGGCATAGCCTGCATATCGCCATAACCATCGGCGCTGACGTCGCATCCCGGGCTGCATCAGATGGCTTCGAAGCGAGTGAATTGTGAGGAATGTGTCGCCTGCACGACAGCACACCTCTTCTCAGGTACGTTGCGAAAAACAGAGCCTTGGCGTCCGGCTGCCCCCAGCCACTTTCGTCTGGGGGCTTGTTTTCACGGATGAGAATTGACAAATTTCAAAATTTAAGATCTCGATCGCGATTCCAATCCCAATCGTGACACAACATCCCCGCACACCCACCCTCGCCTACTGTTCGGTCTTGAACTCAATCTCGCAGAAGAATGCATGTACTTTAAATGTGGCAACTATAGAAACGACTGCGTGTGTCTGTGCATCTGTTTTAAATGAGTGTCGATAAAAGAACGTGCTTTCTGCTTTATTCTGGAAGCTCACTTGTGGGTTGCCAAATCACCTACTTCTGACACAGATGCTGGAGTATGGGAATTAGTAGCGACTTTGTCACTGCTCATGGTGAACCAGAAGCTGATCCATGTTCTACCCACGCTAAGGTCATCTCATGCCGCCATCGCTTGTTACGGGCATGTTGTTGATATCTGGTCAACGCATCATTCCCAGGAGCCTCATCTAACGGCTCTGAATGCCGGTCGTTACGCAGACAGCGCACAATGACAACCCGAGGGTTACTGTACCTGCGCAACATGTGGGTAACGATATCTCAAGTCCCCTCCACCATCGCCTGAAGGTCCATGTTTCTATCTTCGTCATTTCGTCTGCCTCTTCCGACAGGCACATACAGGCTCGCTACCAGGCCAATTTGGCCTCCGGAGCAAACCTGATCTCCGTCCATATCCAAGGTGCCGCACCCGGCTTGCCGTCGCCGAGCCTAAGAATGATGCCGCTTGTTGAAGGCTGGGTCATGAATTTGACAAGACACCCTCTCCGACGGATCTTGTCAAAGAAGCGAGACGCTCCCTGGTCGAGGGCTCGCTGAAGGAATGACTTTGCCTTCTCATAGCGCCACAACATACCGGTCATCACAGCGACTTTGTTATGGTGTTCCATCGTATCCAGCCGGCCAAAGTCCTCGTAGCAGTTGCAACATGCTGAGATCAGCATGGCTTCGGCCCATCAAGTGCTACCCAAGGATTGAACGGAGGATGGTCTCCTTGAACTCTACCCACATATTGGGCTATGCGCCAGGCCGAAGCAAGATCTCCATCGCCCCGATCCCACTGCTTTCGTGGCCTTTTGAAGTGATATCGAGTCCATGCCGACTGAACAAAGGCCTTATGTAGCACAACACTCGCGTCAACGTTGTCGCCTCTCGCTACGAGCAGTTCCATCAGTTGGTCATGTTCCCTCACCCGTTCTTCAACATTGGCTGAGGGCCGCTCGCACGTAGCATAGGCTGTTTGAACCTTGTCATCGTTTCCTGCAACACATAACATGTGGGTGGAGGTTGTTTATGAGGCCGTAGTACATTCGGCGGGAAACGTGGGTCAGGGAGGCCCTGTCCACCAACCATACATGAACCCGCAACTCTTGCTGCTGACTGGAGCGGTCTACTAGAGATCTCTGTCTCATTCCGGTAGATATAAGATTCTTCATCTACCAGAAATTTGATCATGGGGAGAAAAAGGTCCTTGCCACATGCACATTGATTCAGAAGTAACACGATGTACACAATACCGTCTGGGAGGGAACTTGGATTGATCGAAGGCACCGTAGTGGTCTGTCACTGAATGCCCACCCCTTCAGCTTTAGCGAGTCTACGAAGGGCTGTGTGCGAAACAAAGAAGGGCAGAAGACAATGGCTGCGTTATTATCTTGCCGACGGGCCTATTTATTGGTTTCCGGTTGATGAGATGTACCTCACATTTAGATTTCGCAAATCGGAGGTAACATATAGGACATGCCTGGATAGGTGGGCAGAAGCTAACTAATACAGTGCATCTTTTCATTTCTTCAAAGAGCCACATGTCGTCGAGAAGAAAACCAAGAACATCCTTGCAAGCACACTCAAACATGGGGCTCATTACCCGAGGAACCGTTCGTGGGTGCCAGGCTGCCGTGATGACCTCCATGGTGCACCCTGTCCTCGCTTCGCTTGGCCGTGCCTGGCTCGCGAATGTGCAGGCCTAAAGCGCCGGGTCGATGTTGCGGTGGCCCAAGAGGAGCAGAAAGCCGAGACAGGGTTTGGCGATCACCGTCGAGGATG